AAAATGCTCGATGTTTTTGACGTGCGACATGATGTCTAGCCAACAGAGGCGCACACAATGATTCATTAGGTTTTATTCTCTTGGCACAAGCCATGTGAAGTTCATGAATCAAGTTTTCATACTTCGCTTATTGTTTTCGAATGATGGTACACTGATGATATTAAACATTATTCCTAAAACCTATAATATAAATTGTAACCCATAAACAAACGTTATATTCAATAGAAATTAAAAACTCAACAAACTAATGGTTGAATTTAATGATTAAAGTACAGTAAACCACAATTCTATCTTTATATTTCGATAATAAATTTCCCAATCAAAGAGAATGGAACCTTACAAATTTGCTGTATATTTTCAACACCTCATTTTTACTACATTTACATTATTCACCTTTTCTGTCACTCTTGTCACCGCTTCAACGCCGCAACACTAAGCTCTATAAGAAGAATCCGAAGAACTGTCAGAATTTCGTAACACGTCAATCAATAAGAATGTGTCAACGTCTCATGTAGCCTAATAATGAGTATTGCAACTTGTTTTCGTCATAAAATCGAAATCATTCTTCATTCGTGTATTTTTCCAAGAACCGTATACATTTCATCTAATTTCCTTTATGTGAAGAACGAAAAGAAAGAAGACTGAAATGTAAAGAGTATTAGAAATTTAATAAAATTTTCTGCAAAAACTTGAACGATATTTTAGACAGCCAACGTCTTGTAAGGTTTCGATTTAATTTAAAAAGTATTTGGAAATTTAGTCCATGAAAAACTTGTTCCAAGGAGTAGACTCGTTTATTCTCACTGGTAAGGTAAATACACCAGAGGTCCCTTGAATACTCGTAGCTCGAGGCCGGTGATAACGAAAAGCTGTTAACGAATCTCATTTCTATTTAGACAGCGCCCGGTCTAGCTTACGCCAGCGAAGATGGATAAAAGCAACAGACGATGAGAACGGGGAAAACTACAAAACCACTAACTTTTCTGCAATCCGTATAAACAATAGTGTGGAGGAGAACTTCTTGGCGGCTGTAATTTAATTACACGGAACAGTAATTGCGATTACTCTCTTCTCAAATTCTAATGGACATATACTCAGCAACATTCACTGAATTCTAAACTTTATTAGAAAGTGAATATTTAACGAAAATATTGCACTGATTTTATCGAATATCTTAGAAACGATGATAGGAAAATTGTCATAGGAAGTTATGAATTCATCGAATGACGCGAATATTATAATGAATAAACAATATTCTCGTAACTTTCAAGAAGTCAACGTAAATACAGTTTACTTCAATCTCATTCCCTTTCGTTTCTCTTCATCTCTTATTTATTCAAACTTCAATAGAGTTAATGAACTCCGAAATTTAAATATCTTTTTCTTCGGTGAATCTGGGATAAGTATTTGTATATACCAAGTGCAAGTTTTAATCTCCATGTCTCGTGAGTTACACGGAAATCCGATTAACTCGATGAAATTATGATTTTGTTTCGAGACGAGTTGAAAGAATAACGTAAAAGTGACAGAAGTATCCACTAAACTGCGCAAAATTTTCTTCTCCCATCTTTTCGTCTTCACTCGGGGTAAAGTTACAATCTGACCTAGTTACAAAAATGATCCTGTAATCTCGTTCGTTTCACGGAACTTACTCCCGTCGATGTCTGACTATGAAGCGTTTGCTCTTATCTACGGTGCCCGACGAGTGTCTGCAATTGTCAACCTTCATTTCCAATCTGATCACCTTCTACCGCATCTACTTTTGCCTCGGGCAACTGATTAGTCCTTTCACCCTTCAGCCATTTACAACTGAACGTGCTCAAGACCCTGGACGATAAATATCGGAGTTAACTTGAAAAAACTTGACTTTCGATGGTCAGTAACTACTGTTGGACACAGGCATTTCGCACGGGAGGTTTCTTGTACGAGTGGTTCAGAATAATAGTGGTCTAACCTCTATTTCCGAGTTCTCGAGGACAAAAGCTTCTGTGAAATGTGTTAGGATGAAAAACTAATATTACAATGTTATTGATAACGTTAATTACTATTCATCGTTCGTATTAATAATTGTAATGTTAGTATTCAATGAATCCAATAAAATATATCATGCCTTCTTTCTTTTATATTTCATTTTCACTCGGAAAATCTTTCGAACTTACGGTTGATTTCCTTAAACATAAAGGACGTTCAATATGTAAGTAGCATTGCGTAAAAATTCAATTAATTTTAACTGAAAATGAAAAATTATTAGTAAGTAAATTATTATACGGATATTAAAAGTAATTTTGTTATAACTTATTAATGTAGTTACAATTATAAATATAACAAATTTAAAATATTAAAGTAAATAGCCGCAGTACTATCGCTGCTCCAAATTCTCAAGAAGAACGATTCGAATACCTAGCCATACTTTCTTCCTTTGTTTGCTTGATACAAAGTGTGCTTTCAGGTGCCTCTATTATCGAAAGTCGATTTAAAGTAAAATAGTTTCTGCAGTCGTTACGTCCACCTGATGTTACTATATCCATCCGACCGGACCTGGACTTGCACTCGTTCTCCATTTTTCTTTCGAAGATTTAAGAGTTCGATCTGCTCATGCTTAGAATTGCAATTGTTTTACAGGTTCGAACATTCGTTCTCGTAACGCTTGGCACATCAATTCTTACATCACTGACGATATATCATGTTAATGGATGTTCTCGTTCACGATATTTCCGTTCCTTCTTCACTAACTTACAATCAATTCAAGACACGTAACTGGATCAACCCTTCCGCCTTTGGCTAATTCGAAATTGTTTATCTTTTTCATTTCCTTCAAGTGCACCGGGGCATATGAAAGCAAGAGCAATGACAGTAAAGTTACTCCGGTTTGATTACTCCTCGTTTATTCCAATGCAAAACGCTTATATTCAATTTCGCAGGAAACCTAGTTGTCTGTTCGATTCGTGACGTGTATTCATGAAAGATTTAAAGAATTCTGGAACAACGAAGAATATTTAAAACTACTAACTTCCGAGATAAAAATTTTCCTTCTTATTTACAATTGATCGAGACACCGTAACTGCAAATAGAGAAAAATAAAGGTTGAGAGGGGATGAATATTTACAATTCTAAAGATTCAGAGATCTTTGGGAATCTTCTAAAATTTTTCTAGGTTTTTCATTGTGTTTTATTTAAATGTTCATTAATGAATACTATATAAAAAATATTATTGAATTTTTAAGACAACAAAGCTTTCCATTTATTTCGAGAGACCTTTTATTATGCTTCTAAATTAGAGTCGCCGGTCACCATTTTGTCGGCGGTAACTCTAACCTACAAACATTGCGCTACAAGTCTGTAATTGGAATTCAGATGACTTTTCTCTTTAAATGTATACTTTTTACATTGGTTATTGTATCTTTTTGAAGGTTATTATTAAAATAAACATTGTCACAGTGATTTTTTTAATGTATAGAGCACGAGATGGAGTTCTGAGAGCATTGAACAGGATCAATTGTATGAATTTAAGCAGTAAAGATCTGAAATCTCTGATTCAACTTGATAATGTTAATGTAACTACGTACAGGACAGTAATGCATTAAGCTCGATACAATGGTAGCATAATGCCGGAATTATCTCCAATGCGGACACGGTTTAAGCTGGGAAGCTTCATTGCACCAGAAGATCGTGTATGCAAGATGTATGTGCATTTACATATGTATATACATAGATTTATATCGAAAATTTATATGAGTATAGAACACACTTGATTTCTTTTATTTTGACTTCGTTCAAAATAAGACCGCACTCATTTAAAATAAACCTTGTATCTAGATATGTATAATAATTGGAAAAGTCTCATGCTTGTTTTGAAGAAATAATTCATTCGCACAGATGTATGGATGGGCGTTATGAGTTTGAATTAGATTGTTTTAAGGCTTCATTTACTGACAAGAAAATTGCTATATTACTGTCATAATGTACCACGAAAATAAATTATTTACTATTAAATTGGAAAAATTAATCCGAAAATTTCATCTTTTAGTAGTGTTAGACGTAATTATCAAGGAAATTTCTTTCAACAAGATTTCAGTCTATGAGAATTTAATTCGAGTATTATCGAAAACGCAATAATTATGTGGTAAGGATAATTTTTCAGGGTATTAATTCAAATATAAAAATAATGCTATTCAGGTTTTGTAAGTGTTAAATATAAAAAATTGATTGTCAATTAGGTGTTTTAAGATTAAAAATTAAATAAATTCGAAGGTATAGATATAATCACTTTAGCTCGTGTTAATGATGTAAAACTACACTGGTATATTAACATGTCATAACCATCAAAATTCTTGTTCACGTCACTCTAACCACCTATTGAAAGCCTAAACTGATTGGAGTAGCAAGCGAATTTTCTGCTAATTATTATGCTGGATATGTATTTACGTAGTTTGCGATACGATTCAACCACATTAATTTACCTTTTCGTGCATATTTCATCACAGACTAGATATCCTCTACCTCATTCATGAAATAATGATCAAATCATGTTTAGGATAGTACTAATCATTCACGGGCAAACGATTTTACGTTTGTAAATTGACGAAAATGCGGATATGTTAAACAATTCCCTATCTCTTTTTCTTGATTTTCAAAGAATTACAGTTTCAGCTGATATAAATTTAATAATTTTGATATAATTTTAATGTATAATACACAATAAAAAACAAACAATGAACACTTTTAATCTTGTTTAATGAAAAATGAACTTTATAATTTCGACCAGCCATACAACAGTAAATAATAAGTAAAACCTTACATAAATTCAAGAAACAATTGAAAATTAATTTTATATTAAAATCGTTATTTATAGAAAAGTACAATAAACATTTCTATTAGAATACTAAATATAAAAGTTCTATTTTAGGTTATCAATTAATATTAAAATAATGTAGATATTTCTATACATATAGATATACTAGCTTAATATTAATATAGATCATTTTCTTCTTTTATTCCAGAATTAAAAGACACAATAAGCTTCAATGGTCAAAATGACCGCGGAGAAGATTTTAAGATGGATATCATATACGCTTATTGTGAGCGAATGTCACAATTGGAAGGGTCACGACGAAGATGGCTCGAAGCTGATACGGATCAATGGCGACGTTATCCTTGGAGGAATTTTCCCAATGCACGAACAGGTATACGTATATGAAATCATATACCATGTGACTGTAAATTGATGTATAAGATCAGTGTTACACTATTGTACTCATAATTTCTTTAGTCTTTCACAGTTAACTTCCATTACGTAGCAAGTAGCGTTGACTCAAACAGAAAATAGACATTTTCAAATTAAAATTTGATTTGATGATTATTCAAAGAAAATGTTCATTTTACTTTTCAAGTTGTCATTTTAACCAATGCTATCTGAGTAACAATATATCTGAAAAATAAATTGTAGAGAATTTCGAAATTGTTATCATCATCTCGAAACTGGAACTCAATGAATATAATTACATTTCGATGTTTAATTTGAATTTTTCGACTATTGAACGAAAATTTCAATATTTTACAATTACGATGCGAGCTATTATCTATTAAGGAACACGATTAAAATGCAAATTCGAATATTATAAAACCACAATAGATAATTTTAAACGACCACTGAAATTTTAACGAGTCTTCGAACGTCATTAACAGCGCGTACAGTTTATCAAGATTTTTTTCTAAAATTGTCTAGCGCTATCACTGAAAATTGAAGGTAATGACTCGACAATTATTTAAGATCAGCGGCTTCGGATATTGATCGAATTTCCAAGATAATTTGTCATTTCCCCCCGTAGACACTGGATCGATTAGGAACGCTGAGACCATCAGGCAGTTTCCCTCGTAGCCCCACGGAACTTTTTCTCGAAAGTTCAGTGCTCTGCGGTTCCTATCTACTTTAAAACCTTTCTATAGCCATCACGTTTCTGATTTATCTTTGAAATTAGTAAGTCCTGCGGTAAAACGCTGTACAGACAAACGTGCCTCTAAAATACTTCCATTTAATCACGTTCACGCGGAACATTGTTCCGTGGCGTTTATTGGATTGAAAAGTTAATTGATCGGATTAAAATCGCGAAATTCGGGATGAATCTTCGTTGAAACTCACCGATGCGGTCGGTTATCAAATTAATATTGGATTATGATCTAAAGAGCTGAATTAAACAATGTACCAGTCATTCAATATTTTAAGCGGTTAGAAAACGATGCGGAAAAACGATTAATGCAACGATCCGATGATCATTGAAAGAGATTCCATTTGAAGTATCATGAATTCGATATTGAAACATTGTTCTGAATCTCATATTGAATACTACAATCGTAATTGTATCCTTTGCAATTTATGTTTCTTCATTTTAGTGATGAATATTACTTGGTCTGTTTAATCCTTTTTTGATGAAAATTCTGTAGGATCAAATATCTGTTCATTAACTTGGTTTTATGTAAATGTGATATAACATTACGCTTTAACGCTCTACAATTTCTGAATGTTTCTTACATAAGGAAGATAATGGTCATAAATTATTCCGGCTTTTCCTATAGAGTTTCGCTTAATAGTACATCGACGTCATAAGCTTAAAGGACGTTCCACGAGCTTTCAACTTACGTATAAAGTTAAGGTAAAATGTACTCTCATTGAATTCGACAGAAAGTTTGTAAAATTCAATTTACCATTCGATTTCAATGAAAATGTACACGTGATCAATTTTTATGTATCTTTAATCACACAATAATAACTATAAATCGCGGTTCGCAAGCATGAAACAGATTCATTTATTTACAACTCTAGTTTCCGTCTGGAATTACCTTTGGACTATATAATCGCTTTAAGCTATTGTGGCATTAAAACGACTGAATTACTTGCGACAGTATCGGAAATTTTATTCCGCTCTTCTAAAATTACTTTTACAAATCACTTTTTAAAGGTACACGATACACTGGACCTTTTCAGATAAGTTCCATAAATATCATATTATATTTCCATTTGAAAATTGTGAATAGATTTTCGACCTCTCTGTTGTATTACGTGCGATCCATTGTGTTTTAATGAAAAATTGAAGAGTACATATGGAATTAAACAAACGTTCTGTTTTAATATGTTCGAAATACTTTTTTTTACTTACTACATATGAATATACGTTTAAAATATAATGAAGTTGAACATTGATAAATCTCATTTCGAATCGTATACGTTCGTGATATGATAAATTTGAATTTCTGGAAGTATTAACTGCTTGAAAAATAATATCATTCATACTTTTGATGAGAAAGGGGACTACATGCAAAAAAGATGGAGGTTTAGCCAGCCGGAAAATATATTTCTGTCACGCAGATGGCTTTAACCACTACGGATCTGGAGAGGCTTTACGGGAAATGCGTTTTAAATATAAAGTGTTTCATGGGAAATGCATAATCAATATTCCGACGTGAATTGAAAGAATGTGAACTGGAACGGAAGACAATTTTCAGGCGAGAAGAATGTTCCCAAATTATTCAATGAATTTTCATTAATACGTTTGGCTTGTTGAATTAATTTATAAACCTGACGTGAACATTTGCGTGTTGGCAGAAACGTGTTAATACTGAATCAACTGTTCTATTTACAAACATACAATTCAATATTATGATAAAATATAAAATTACACATAATTGTTAAGTTACTCAGAAAGGTATTATAATTATTTTACCGAACGTATGAATAATTTGTCTCTTGCGATTATAAATCGATATGAATTTATTGCTTGCAATTAATACGACTAAATAATCTATCGCAGGTAGGTATTTGAATGTAATGATTGTGAAACTAATATTAATTGTTAAGAATCGTTACAAAATAGTTTCTTCTGTTTTATTGCTGATATAACAAATTTTAACGATACTAAAAAATCAGTACGTAATTACACTAATAATTTTTATATCATTTCGACAGAATCTCTACATTATTTACAAAGTAACTATAAATTGAAATACGTTAATTGTAAATAATACCATCAAGAAAGGTAACTAACAAAATTTTAATTACATATGAATAAGTTCTAGAAAATAATATTTTACTCAAAATTATTATACAAAAAGAATATATTTAATAGAATACAACATATAATCACCAATAACAATACGATTACAGAAGTTTCGATAATTCGAATGTGTTAAAAACCAATTCTCAGGAAATATCATTACATTTCCCGATCTCATTATCCGCCAAATACAATCGGCAACAAATTTTTCGCAACGATCACGTTAAAAGTGAATTCGAAGAAGCGCGTAAATAGCTTGAGAGGGCGGATTCCTTTGTTTCTTTCAGCGCCGCCGGGACCAGATTTATTCCAGCACTTGAGGCCGAAGAACTAGTTCTTGACATGGTATCAAAAGGTCCGGAAACATGTACAAAAATTACTGTAGCAGCTGCATTCTCGCTTCAAAGCCCGCGGAGAGTTACACGAAAAACTCTTCTTTAGCTGTAATTCTTGTCGCGAATTAAGGTTACCTCCAACATTGCGTGACGATAAACAAAAATTTAAAAGTTCAAGGAGCATAGTTACGTGTTTTTACAATAATTATTAAGGGACGGATTGCAGAGGGCCAGGGCACTGTACTTCGTTACGCGGGCAATAATTTACGTTGACCGTTTCGTTCCGATCAATAAAGGTTCGTAAGGAGAAACATCTAGATCCCAATAAATACAGCCGTTTCCACGATGTTTAATTAAATATGATTATTGCAAAAATTTTCTTTTTCAAGAGGGAGTAGTCCAAGAGAGGCAATCCATTAAAAACGCGTGGCCAAGTGTTCCATATGAATAATGGAGCGCCAACTCATTTCAGATGCACCGCTGGGAGCTACTTCAGCAAAAATTATCGTAGCTGTTGGATTGTTAAAGGAAGATAAATTACACGCCTTGTACATGAACTTGTCTTGACTTTTTCCATTCGAGAGCGTATGAAACAGATTTCGTTTTTACGTGCCCGGATATCTCCTATTTCGGCCGCGAACGCTGCGCTGCGCGATCACAATAGCGACGAACGTGTACTGCAGTTAACTTCAAAATCAATAACTTTCGTTCACAAATTTCCATACAATTGTCTACGTTTCCTTTGCTCTGCGTTCATACTTAATAAATAAAAGAACAACGTTTTTAATTCGTCAAATATGTTACTCAATAAACGAACATAACCTCAAGGAACGTGGGTAATATCAAAACAAAATAGCGAAGATTTCAAACTCAATCTAACAAAATGGTTACTAGTGATAATTCTATAATCAACATTCAGTATTCATATTACCATATTTAAAAACGAATATGAATTTCCAATGAAACTAGAATTCTTTCTCCCGGCAGTAAATCATTAACGAAATAATTCCGGCGAGCTGCGAAGGAAACGGTGCATTTAGAGTTTAAATATGCACGATCCCTCTAGGGATTTCAGGCAACTCGCAGATTAATTTACAACTAAAATGTTGTACACAATTTTACGCGTATAACGGTAATGATGGCAGAAACGTTAATTTATAACCGGCAGTAGTTAACTTATCAGTTGCGTAAGAAGATAGAATGGAGGACCCTTATCGTTCCACGGTAGCCTAACTTCTCCTTTCCCGCTGAAAGCCAGATCTTCCGTCGCGCCCCAATTGACACAAATTCTAAAACTGGTACAATTAGAACTAGAACTACAGAGATCTTCTTCCTTGTCTCCCGGAGTCTCGCAGGAAGTGCATTTTTCCTTCAACTAGGCCTTGGTCGTACCTTTTCACGGTAACTATCGCGAGTAACCTCCATCGGCAGGAGGAAGAGGGTCAACAATTCGGACGCATTACGGATTTTCCTGCCAACCTTCCGACCTTTTCACCCTTACACATACGAGCGGAGTTAACTCACAGGGAAGAATAACACCGAGACTCGCTAATGTCCCTTCAAACGGGCACACGTTATCGAACCGTTCGTCCATCTGAGCCCGACGCCATCGCCCTTCGGAGACATGAATGGACGATATTTAATCTGAAAATATAATGTTGGACCCTAAAAGGTACTAGGATTCTTACAATAGTTGATCCCTTCGGAAAATGATTTTAAAACGAACTTACCAGAGAATTAGCTAAATCTTGTCGTGTAACTTACTTTTTATAGGCTAGATGCATATGCCAACTTTTGAACTTTTTCTTCTATTTTTCCTTTTAAAACGTGTTTCTTAATTTTTGTAGCTCTTCGTCTTTCTTCGGAGTTCCAGAATTCAATATTATTAAAATCACAATTGAATAAATTATTGTTCTCCGAATACTCATTTGAAAAACTATTTAGTCAAAGAATTTACTCGAATAACGACGAAGATGATTCCAAACGAGCAGACAGATTTAAGAATGTTACATTTATTAAATGTAAATGTCTAATTGTTCATAATTTTCAAATGAACCACCCGCCATAATTTCATCATGCATTTCATTTTACTTTAACGCGGACAATCATGCAAAAAATGGATACTAATCTAAAATTTCACACAGTTCGTTTGACACTTCGCTTCGTTCCAACATATTCAATGTCATATCCAACTAATGCGTTTCCATTGTATCGTTGTATTAAATGGATTTAATATTTTCCAAAGAACAGCAATTTCCTTTGCCGAACGCGACGCGAAAATTGCAAATGGACATGCTCGCGAACCACTCTGAAAAACTAATCGCGAGCCCATTGTACGAAAATGCGATTATCGAACACACTGAAGTCGTATTGTCCATTATACACGTGTGTTTTATTCATCGGGAATCACATTTGTATTTATAGGTATCAGGTTCCATGGGTCAATCGCCATGCGGCGCGGTAAAAGAAGAAAAAGGAATGCAGCGTTTGGAGGCTATGCTGTACATCCTCGACGAGATAAACGCGGACAATGATTTATTACCGAACACCACCTTGGGCGCCCTTATTCTTGACTCCTGCAGCAGCGACACTTACGCCCTCGATCAAAGCATGGAATTTGTCAGATCGTACATGAACCAAGTAAGTGAGTGTTTCGTTTCGTTTCGAGAGATTATCTGCAAAAATGTGCGATAATATTGTGGTTCTCGTATATCGTTATAATAATTAACTGGGAGAAATAGAGGGATGAAAATTGAGGACGTCATAAGTGGGAGAAAGGATGTTAAGGTAATAAAATGTTTAACGCCTTGCCCTATGATTTATTTTTCAACTATAATCGATCCAACGATTTTATCATTCATGACTTATTGAAGAAAGAGAAAAATTCTAAGCATATTCTGTATCCACCTTTGCTCTGAAATATAATAATTGATAACGGAAAAGTAATATTTCATTTGAATTCAGAAGAACTGAGTAATATTTATGTTTGTTAAATTCGGTTTGAAATCTTCACTACGAGTCTTACGCGTTACTGTAAGGCAGGGGGTTAAAAAACCTTTCAAAGAGAAAGAAGGAAAAAAGAAAGAGTTACACAAAAAGAACCGAAAATTACAGGGTGCAATGTAGTGAATAGAGGGGAAACACAATGAGTATAATATAAATAGAATGTTTACAGTAAGTTAGGATATACATAGGAAGTTTGTATGTATGTAGAATGCAAGAGATACGATAGAAACGAATCTACAAAGCGTACATTGAAAATTAGATTGTAAATCCGAGTCCACTTTCTTAGCCGAGAATAAAGATTTGTTATTATTAATAATTAACGAATTTGAACACTTGATAGTTAAAGCACGATTAACTAATTTACAACAACTGAAAATAGTCGTTCACACCTTTCATCGTAGAATAAAGTATAACTAAGACTAATTAACTATTGATAAAGATAATAAGGAACAGTAGCCTAGAATGAATAACAATGAAATGTTCTAAAAATTATAAAATTCTATCACTTTATATTTTCAACTCACTAAGGTTCTTAAAAGAAGAAATTACTTTCTGTCCAATACTTTTTTCTTCAAATCCCTTGGGGACATTTTTATTTTGCACAAAGATCCCCTGTTAAACTACACTGTCAACGATAGCAGGTTGACTATCCACGTAATGAGTACCTTATGCACTCACACTCATATTAAAGGTCTGCTATATTTGATGGGACAGAGAATCCTGACTCTTTCTGCAAGCTTGTCTACAAAGTTACGAACTTCGCTCGAATTACCCGAAATACCTAACCCGGCAAGACATGCGCTGGCACAAAATGGATGGTGCGCTCGTTGTCTTCAGCGTTACGTTCAATACACCGTAAATAATCAGTACAAAGAAATGACAAGAGAGAAGAAATTTTACTGTTCTTTGCAAGCAGCGTAACAACATATGTAAACGTTTCATATTTGTAATGTTTTTGGGAAAATGGCCCTTAATTTTTTAAACAAGTGACCTTTTATGGCACATTGAATTTCACAAGTCGTCACTTGTAAATAGTATTGTTAATAAAACTACTTAAATTGATGAATAAAGTTTTGATAATAATATCATATATAATATATATCTTTTGTTTAATTAAGGCTACTTTTATTTCTGAAAAAAATATTGTAAGTATGCAAATTGTATGCTTGATATTCTATTGATTAGAAGAAAACAGTACATCTTTTCTTTTACCATTTCGTTCTTGTTTTTTTATTTGCTATTTACGAAAACATCTGATAATTGTTTTCCATAACTTATAAACAATTCTACTACCCTGGGAAAGTTATGAGAACTGATTAAGCAACAACACAGACTGTCGAAGAACGTCCATTAACGTTACTAAAGAATTGAACGTTGTTCCGAATCGATGTTTAATTTCCTCATTTATATTGACATTCGATTTGCCCACGCCGACCACATCCATTGAAATTGTCTTTACCACTAATGAAAACATTTTATACGCGCAATGTGTCAATAATTATGACGACAAACCTTTATTGTATCGAATACCGTTTGCCGAGGGTAATAATATCGCAATGCATCAAAGAGCAAGGAACACGTTTTCCAGGTATAATCGTTGTCAATTCGTTTTACACGTGGAACGCGTATTCATCGTTCTACAATTGACAAAATATTCCACCCGTAACATAATTTTAAATTATGTTGGAGTAATTTTTAATTATGTTGGAAATCTGCAGCGCGAGTAACTCTCAATCGAATATTTACGCTTCGAAATGATGCTTTCTTCTTGGTGCAGTTTACAAAATTAATTATAAGTTTAATAAAGCACGCCTGCAGAGAACCGTTGATGAAGTTTATATAAATAATTCATTACAAAGGGGTAATTACCCGCTTCGTAAACGCTTTGAGTGGATTTGGCGAGTCGAATAG